CCGCAGTGCATCGCGTTAGTCCACCAGATCCATTCTGAATATATGGGGAGTGTTAAAGGATGGTTTTAGCAATATTTTACTATGATTGGTTTTTATGCCGGTGGACTAAGTTGTCCACTATGGCCACAGTAAAAATACGTTAACTTTTTTTAGTTTTATTTTTAATAAATTACATTACACAATTGTTAATTACTTAGGACTATTTAGTGAACATACAAACTTGAACAAATATTAAATAAAAAATATCAACTTTCTATTGTTTTAACTGTGAAGAATGCATTTCAAAAAAGCAATTAAGACACAAGTGTTTGTTACATATATCGCAGCGGAATTTTGTTTTATTCGTTTTATTTTTTGCAAGCTTCTTTCCCATTTCCGTGACATTTTTGTGGTAGCAATTAAAACAAATCTGTCTCTTATCCGATTCATATAATTTATGATCTTGATTATTAGAAACAAATACAGAGGTAGGTAAGTCATTTCTTTTGATAAGACCTGAAAATTTAAAATATTTAAGATTTGAGAATACAAAAACCTCTCGTATCTACCTTGTATTAGTTCTTCCCGAAATGTTGTTATTGACATTTTATTGTGTGTTACATGCTGATACAGCCAGTAGGCATTGACAATTGCTGCACCAACTACTAACTCGATCGCAAGTTTACGATACCATTTGACCCCGCGTCTGAGAGATGTGTTATACGATTTTATCTGATCTAAAATTATATAGTTATTGAGAGAAATAAAAATTACTAAAAATTTGGATTACCTGAAATGTCAATATAACTTTTTTGCTTATTATACTGAATAATGGATTTAGGCTTCTGCATATCTCCTGATTTTTTATGCACAGTAACCATTTCTGGTAAATACTTCGTTGTCAACATCACGACGCCCCGTTTGTCTTTCCACTTTTCAACAAATATACCATTATTGCTTTCTTCAGAAACAACGTCCACCTTAGCCAGAAGGTTACACGACCTTTACTTTTTTTTTAGAAACAACTTCGCCTTTTTTTAGTTTTTTGTTTATGACATTTTTCGGATTATTTTTCCTGTTAGTACGTAGGGTACCCAATACGTATGTTTTATGTTTTAGCAATTTAAAAGCCAACTCTACAGAGGTGTAGTAGTTATCTACACAAACTGTTCGCCCCTTTCCAAGTAAATCCTTTACCAAATCTGTCACTACTTTTGTTGGGACAGTAGGTATAATTCTCAGCACCATTGTTTTCTTGTCCGCAGTATACCTTTAAGTCATACAAATAGCTACCTTCTAAACATAATTTAAATAATTTAATACCAAATTTGTGACGCTTATTGCTAATGTATTGTTTAAAATTTAATCGCCCTTTAAATGGCATCAAAGTTTCATCAATACATAAAAATTCTGATGGTAAAATAGGCGTTTGAAAATTTCTTTTGAGCTTTGACAAAAGAGAACTAATCTTATACAATCTGTCCTTGCTTTCCTTAACAGCTTCGTTGTCAGCGAAGCGCCAGTTCTTTAGAAGTAATTGAAAATGATTTCTTGACATTAGCTGTCAAAGTTCGTTTTTATATATGAATTTTTTGGACCAGTACGAAGAAATTGTGGGTTGATATTCAGACACGTCAGGTGAAAAATCAGACTCTTCAGAAAGTATTTCATTCAACAGTTTTTGTAGTTCTTTCTGTTCTTTTTCATACGACATTATTTTCGTTCAATACATAGATACTCAATTGCAATCATAAAAACACGACGCGATGGCCGACACTAATACATACAATAACGGAAATACCAACAGAACTGAACGAGAATGAAACGAGTTGGCTATCAGGTGATGTCAGCCGCGCATGTCCACCGCGGCCACAGCGGCGGACTGAGTCATTATGGCCGCGGTGGGTTGATGTTGTCCACCATTTTTTTGCATTTTTTTTTTCAAAAACTAAATGGTTTAAGAAGAAACTAATAATTTTATGTCACATTTATAAACATTTTTAATGAATTCCTGCAAAAAAAAAGTTTGGCCCTTATGGACCGTCAAACAACATTCTCATGATGGCACTCTACGTGTTAAGTGATATTGGAAACCTTTGGTATTGGTACTTACCGTAAAGTATGGAACAAATTCTTTTTTAACTAAATAGACCATTTTAAGAAATAATCCTAAAACAAGTGGATTGTTGATTTTAATTTACCGTATTTTAAAATAATATTCTAATATACAGGGTGATTTACTTTCGAGTAAGGACGTCACCGTCATTTTTTTTTAAATGGAACACCCCCATTTTGTCTAATTTTTCGGATTACTCTAGCTGAGGTGATTCCAAAAATGTATAACATATTGATTCAAATTGGTACAGGGTGGACAAAAATACAATAGTTTTATTTGTGCTCATTAAGTAACGCGTAAGTTAAATTAACAATATCAAAAGTACTATAAAAAAACAGAAATTATTTTTTATCAATTTAAAAGAAACATAGTAGGCTATGTTTTTGTTAAATGTCATTATTTTTTTAGTAATTTATTGATGTTCAGTGACAGTTTCGTACTACAATATTTTTGATATTTGTGAGTGTTTTAATTATTGCTTAGATTTAATTTGAAGTAGAAATGGAGTTAAGTGTAAAGCAAAGAATTAGAATACCTATGAGGGTGGATGATTGGGTATGAAGACAGATTGCGAACTCAGATGGAAGTGTGCAATTTGTTTAATGATAAATATCCAGAAAGACCTATAACGCGTTCAACAGTCAGTAAGGTTAAAAATAAATTTCGAGAAACTGGTATGGTTGAAAATGCACGGAAATCCGGTCGTCCCTCTGCAAATGCTGATACAACATTAGATGTTTTACTTAGTTTTGAAGAAAATGCGCACAATTTTATGCGTAAAATTAGTCGCGATATCAATGTTAGCAAAACAACAGTGCACAAACTATTAAAGCTAGAAAAATGGCATCCTTATAAAATCAAACTTGTGCAGGAATTAAACGAAGATGATCCCGATAGAAGAATTCAATTTTGCAAAGCAATGATGGATAACTGCCATCGAGACCCTATCTTGTGTAAACTTGACCCTGTGTGTTAACTTTAATACATTCTAAACTTTAATACGTGCTTGCAAAACCAGAATACTTGCCACTCATATTACTGGCATTGTCGTAAGACTGGCCTCTACAGTTCTTAATCTCTAATTTCAAAGACCCTAACATCCCTATAACTGTTTTTTTAAGTTATAGGGAGTTATGCCCAGTATTTTTATAAAATCCCATGAATCTTTCCACAGGATTCCTTTTATTGTTGCAATATCTCAAAATCACAGTAAGTTAGTCATGGTGTGTTATGTCAGGTGTTAAATCTACACTTATAGAATAGTATTTGTTTGCCTTAATCTGCCTAACAATTTCATTAATAACTCGATGGGACAAAATATTCAATAATTCGTTACATATATCTTTTGATAGACATGACGTTTTGCCCTTACCTAAATTTACTTGTTTAATAATATTTTTTTTACTAAAGACACCGAAGTGTACTTACATTAAAATCTGGCCAGTAAGACCAATTATCAATTTGTTTCTAACTTAAATTACTAATGAAAACTTAAAATTAGGTGTCTACTCACTAGTATCTTTACGATTATTTCTAATAACTAGCATTACATTTAGCATGCACACTCGCACCACACTTTGCTCTGCTTTTCACTCGCTCACTATACCAATTCAAAAGGCTTTGTCCTTTTAAGCCTTCTCTCTAGGTTCATATTGTCGAGGAGCTGCATAGCCTTGACGTTTACATGATGACGGAGTCGTTGTTCATGGCTCCCTGCAAATTTCTTAATTATCTGATTGACGTCTTCCATCTTGAGGTCCCGGGGAAGATCGTTGTTTCTAACGTACCAAGGCGCATCTACGATATTCCTCAGCACTTTATTCTGAAATACCTAGATTACTTTGATGTTACTAGGCTTGGCACAGCCCCAGAGTTGGCAGCCATAGGTCCATACTAACCTCAGTATTTGTTTATAGATTAGGAGTTTATTATTTATGGATAGAGAGGAATGCCTTCTCATCAACCAATAGATTTTCATGTAGCGGATGCCTAGTTCTTCTCTTTTCTTCTTGAAGAGTGATCCCCAAGTACTTTGCTGATGTTGCAATAGGCACTTGGAGATCATTTATTCTAATTATAATATTATTAATTCTCTTATTGGTAAAATTTATATGAGCTGATTTATTCTCATTCAGCTTAATTTTCCATTTTTTGGTCCATTCATGGATTTTATTTATTGAGTTTTGTAGTTTTTCCGTAGCTTCTTTGACGGTGTCACCTATTGCTAAGACAGCAGTGTCATCTGCGAAGGTAGCTATGGTATAGTCTTCTAGTTCAGGTATATCACACGTGAATATTAGTTATAGGACTGGACCCAATAAACTCCCTTGTGGAACACCTGCTTTAATATCCTTGAGATCAATGTATGCATCTTCTTGTTTAACTCTAAAATATCTGTTCGCTAGATATGATTGTAATATATTTGAATATTGTTTAGGCATAAATGATTTAAGTTTAGGTATCAAACCATTTTGCCAGACTTTATCAAACGCCTGTGCCACATCTAGGAAGGTTGCAGACCAGATTTTTCTTTTCTCTAATGCTCTTTCAATTATAGCAGTTATTCTATGTACCTGACCAATTGTCGAATGCTTATTTCTAAATCCAAATTGATGATCTGGAATTAGTTTCTTTTCTTAAATTATTGGTAGGAATCTTCACAGGAGGAGTTTTTCAAACACCTTGGACATCACAGGTAGGAGTGATATTGGTCTATATGATGTCACCCCATTGGGAGGTTTCCAGGCTTTGGTATCATGATCACTATCTTCCATAAATCTGGAACATATTATAGTCTAAAGGCAGCATTTATTAAATTTTTTAATTTTACGATACCTGGTGCCTTATTTGTTTATTAATATGATCTTTTAAAAATACTCATATTCTGACAATAGTTCCAGTAAACTTAAGTAGTTTCCATTCCGTTTTTCGCCAATTCTTTATGAGTACCTCTAAACGCCAATTCCCTGGTAGCCAGGAACTTTATTACACTTATGATTCTTTCTAGGTCTTTAACCCAATATTCTTTCGCAGTGCTAATTTCCTTTTCGAGTTCTACATCAACTCTTCCTTGTTTTAATAAGCGAGTCTGATACATTTTCAGATTATCTATATGATCATTGGATCTTTCATGTTCGTCAAATCTTTCCTTACATTTATTTCATAATGAAAATCCTGTTTTAAATTGGTTGTTTTTTTTTTAGTATAAAAATATATTACCAGTGCTCTCGGAGAAAAGTGCCCTATCGCGGCGAACCACTTCTCTATTAACCAGTTTTTTTATCAAATATTTGTTTACTGGCATACCTGTTTTGTTCGCCGAAATTTCTTTTTGACATTAAAAAGTTCATATCTGTAAGATTCTGTTCGACCCATTTTTCTAGAATTATTTCTAGATCTTACCAAAGTGTTGGATCTTTAAAATTAAGTAAATCCTGTTTTGGATCTGGAAAGGAACAAAAAAAATTATTTGTGATTGTCCTGTTTCCCCTACCATTTATAAAGGCACCATTATATTTTTGCATTTTAGCCTCGTCACAAAAAAATCAAATATGCCTTACCCGAGATACTGGTGGTTACTTTATCTTCTAATACTTTTGAAACAGGTGATACTGAGTACTCTGGCACTGATTCTGAAGTCTCCAAAATATGTTCATGTGGTCGAATGTGAATACATTTATCACTAGTAGCACTACAACTAGGACCAGGTTGGGAAGTATTTGTACATATTTGGTCATACATAAAGCTGTACTCCTTGCGACGTCCAGATGTGTACGAAAATTTTTGGGAGATACTCCAGTATACCAAGTCACCTAGAGCTCGATAACTCGGAAAGACTCCCACCAGAACTCAATGCTTTTGATACCGTAGGTATCTGGGATAAGTAAATTTTCCCTTTAGAGGGAGTGTAAGCCGTATGGCTAAATCTGGATAATACTCAAAAGCAAACTTAATTCCAAGCACATAGTAAAAGCAATAAACACACGCAATACCACCTTTAACATAGTCCTCATTTGGCGTTATAAAATCGTCGAATAAGAAAACTGAAGAACGATATAGACGAAATAGAACCATTATAACTAAATACGCATCAACCACTCCAAATCATATATCCAACATATGACTACCACGCACACAAGGCGGGAGAAGAACGGCGGGGGTGTTTTGGAAATATCACCCACTACTTAAAAATAAAAAAAAAAACAGCAAAAATAAACAAAGACAAAAATATATACAGCAGCAATTAGACCTATTATAGCAAACGGAGCGGAAGTAATGTGTCTTATGAAAAATGATAAAGAAAAAGTAAGAACTATTAAAAGAACAATTAAAAGAATAAACAGACCAATAAAGCCAGAACAAGGAGAATATAAAAGAATAATGAAGCATGAAATAAGAAATATAAATATAACCGAAGAGGAAGACATAGTAAAATTAATTACAGCAAATTATTTAATTTTTAACTATTAACAAAAATGTAATATAATGTGATGTACGAATTTAATTATAATACGATATTCACAGATACAGCCGCAAGTATAATAATTTCTTTGTCGATAAAATTGTTTAGATAATGAATGTGTATTTGATATATATTCCGACTGACACAGGAGAGCAGTAAATTATTATACATAAAGATGTTGTTAAAGATATCTTTACTTAGTTGGTCTACTAGTATAAGTTATAGCCTATTTAATAAAATTACTGTCTTCACAACTTGGCAACTCAGCCAATGGATATACTCGTAATGATAGAAAACTGCAATTTATGTTAGGGTTTAAAAATATTACAGATTCTTCATGTAGAAATTTACAATTAAATTTAAAAAATTACCAGAGCACCATGCCGCAGTAGAACCATCTCTAGGATCAGAAACAAATTAATCGAGGGTGAAGATAAACCTTAAAGGAGAGCCACACTATGCATCTAAGCTGTTGAGTTACGGAAATGTTTGTAAAAGGGGCAAATCCTTTGAAAATATGGCACCTACCATCATGGATGTTAGACTTCCTGTGAAGCCAGCAAAATTACAAGACGTAAAAGGCCCTCTCGTTAAGCATTTTGGTGAAGATAAGATTACTTTTGGTAGCATCAAATATTACCGTTTCCTTCAAGGGGACCAAAGTGACAGTGCTCCTGAAGAAACTGATAATGAAGATACTGTAATGCAAGACGACGTAGATTTAAGAGTTTAATGTTAAGATTAAAAACATTTCATATTCTCTTTGTGTGCAATAGCACATGACATGTTTATTATATTTATTAGCAATTCGTTGTTTCATAACCGTCTAAGTTGATTAAATGCTCCTGCAAAACTACTTAAGTTAAAATTGCTTATGCAAAACTGTCTATGTTCAATTTTGAAATTTAAATAATCAAACTATTATTGACACGTATATTTTATCTGACTCGTACCGATTCTATATTAATCTTTTCAAAATTAGCACAAAGCAAAATATTTATTTTCTATTTGGATTAAGAGTAAAATGCATTTTTTACTTTACTCAAATGAATTGTTCATACACATAGCGGTGTTTGCAAGTGGACTACTCAATTGCCTGTTATTCCCTAATTATATTCATAACATGTGATCTGTTTTGATTTTAGGTAATGAATTCCAAATGTGTTTACTGTAAGCTGACGCAAGTAATAATGATCCTGTCCGGGTATTTGAAGCAATGAAATATTAGCCATTAGTAAATACAAATTTGAAGCGTTTTGTCATTATCCCCACACAACTGTTTAACAGAATTCAGGGCTGTATTAAACTTCTTACTTTATCGCTTATGTATGGAAAGTTTATAAATGCCAACTTTCAACAACACTTTCACAAATTATCTTTACTTGTTTTATTAATTTATGTTATCAGTGTGTCGGACAAATTTTGCGTTTCAAATAAAAGATTTTCGATTTGACTATTTCACTTTTCCATGGCTGCTGATGTTCGTGCTGTGGGAGATTTGTGCCAAGAATATATTTTTCGAGAAAAATTTGTTTAGTTGTCGATCCGAGTAAGAATCAGTGTTAGCAACCATACTATAATTATAGTAGGTAAACCCGAAAAAAAACCGAAAATGGACGTGGATATTTCCCCATAAAAAGACGAAAAACGAGATCGATTGCTGCTTGTGTGAGAACAAAGACATTTTTGAAGATATAACTGCTAAACTCCTTGTGCTCTATGAAGGCCGATATGTAATTAAGATATGATCAGTGGGCCTCAAACAGTGGGGCGTTAATATTTAATTTCGATCGCTTGAAAAGTAAAAATATTTAATTTCCTGTATTCTATCTTCAGTAATAATATTGGATTTTACTGTATCAAAGGCAAATAAAATGAATATAATATGTATATACAGGGCGGTTAAAATAAGTGGGACGGAATATTTTGAATAATCTAAATTATTTGTCGACATCAAATGTTCATCAAGATCTCTATAAGTCTCTATTTTGCCTAGAGTAAAAACTATACGAATGGTTTTGCATGTTGTTAAATTGGAAAATACTTGCCAAGTTGCTGGTATGTCCAAATTTGAATAAAATACATCCAAAACTTTACTTTCTGCAGACACTGTATTAAATATATCTTTTAAACAAATTGGCACTAAATCACTTCCGAGTTTTCAGCAAAACAAAATGTTTAAACACGTGTAGTCCAGTAATTAATACCAAAGCTATTGAGAGTATGCAGTCCTGTAATTAGACCAAAGGTACTTTATCATTTAACTAAAACACATCACAAAGTTTGAATTGAATTCTGAAACACTTTTTTGTTTCTTCTTTTTAGCAAACGATTTGTCCTATTCACTGTATGATATTTCACTAGCAGAGTCGTCACTATCTGAATTGTCTATCCGAATAATTAGAGGCCGGACCTCATCTATAACTCGCTCGGTTTAAAAAGACTGAACGATTATGTCTTCCGTATGTCTAATACAATTTTTTTTTGTTCTGCCTTTATTTGTTCTAGCGATTCTTTCCATAAACCAAGAACGCTAGTGTCATCTTTTGTTTTGGATGCATGTTTATTATAAAAATTTTTGGCTATACCCCAAACTAACTCAATTGCATTGTAATGGCTATGGTAGGGCGGAAGTCAAAGAACTTCATGGCCATATTTAAGAGCCATTTGGTCAGTAACAAAGTTCTTTTGAATTTTGTGCTCTCCACACCTTTAAAGTAAATCGACTTTTAAAAATATGTCACTGTGATAAATTTTCTTTTCTGTCAACCACAACTTTATTTCTTCTTTTGTCCAGCTACTTGAAGGAAATCTCTTTTCTACTCTGGAGTGGTAGGATGGATTATCCAAGACTATTATGGATGGTCGCTCCATTTTTTTAAGAATTTTTTTTTAAACCATTCTTAAAAAATATTTGCATCCATATTTCCATGGTAATCACCTGTATTCTTTGTGGACGAAAAAATTAAACTAGCGTCAGGAATAAAACCCTCATAATTTCCAGCATGAAGTATGATGTAGGGTTTACCATAAACGGAACGACTAGAAGAATAACATTTCGTGGTGCCATCTTGCCGAGTTGATTTTGACTTATTTCCTTTAGCGAAAATCCAAGTTTCATCTAAAAATACAACTTTGGGTGCCGTCTTCTTAGCGAAGGTTGGCGATGACCTCTGCAAAGTCTTTCCTATTTTGGGCTTTCCTTATTAAACTTTGAAAGTCTAATCCTGTCCAATCTTTGATGTTGCGAAGCCAGGTCATTTGTTGTCTAACCCTTCTATTCTGCCTTCTATTCTGCCTTCTATTTTCCCTTCTATATTAAGCTGAAGGAAATTATACCTGTCGTGTCTTTTATTTTTTATTTATTAGAGACATTTTATTGTTCATGTATTTTCTTAAAAATTTCCACCGTTTTGAAACAACATTAGAAACAACATTAGAGTTCACACAATACTTGTCTATTATTTGTCTTTTTATATCGAAAACCTAAATGTTTCAACACTCTCCACAAACTTGTTAAACTAATATCATACAGTTCTTTGTCTTTTATTTTTTGCAACATAGCACTAACTGTTACATGTTCTTTTGTTTTATACATCTTATATATAATATTTTTAATTGCAAGTTTAATTGACTGATGCAAATCCAAAGTTTTTAGATGTTGACGATTTCTCTTGCTTACTTTATTTATTTTATCCTCATTCATGTTATTAATTCTTCGGAATGTCCTCTCTGAGATACCGCAAGCATCGCATGTGCGTTTCTGAACTGCATAACAGATGTCAATGGACCCATATAATTTTTTTCTAAATTGAAATAACTTTCGACTTTTAGAACTAAACGCCGTTCTTCTGGAGATAACGGTCTACGTTTCGACTGTAAGTATTTTATTTTCTTCCAAATTACTCATTTTGCTTTAAAGTACCGCTTCACTACACTACTATAAAAAATAGGTACTTATATACAACTACTACATCCTAAAAAGGACGAGGGTTGTACAACAGACGAAACAATCGAACACAAATTATTTAACAGCCAATGCTAAACAAGCATAAACACTGTATTAATTGTGATTGCAAAAACCGTTCGCATGTTTTAAATAAGGTTTTTGCTGATTATGTATTTTGTTAAATTATTAAAACACAAAAATACAACCCACGACCATCAATTAATTTTTAACGATACACAGAAGAGAAATAAACAGCATTAAACAGCATGAATCATTTTTCAATGATTGTGTGGATTTAAGAAATACATTACTAAACAAATTTTTTAAGTG